CGGTTGCTCTGGATTTGATGAGTATGAAGAGAAGAGATAGCAAGCTGAATATCTGTTTCATTTGAAGGCATTTGGAATATATTGCGTAGAGTGGTTGTGTATAGAGTTAAACCGTGTGCGCAAACTTGGTGGGGTGGCCAACTCGCTTGCCTGGCCAACTCGCTTAGGTATGCAGCACGTTACGGACCCGCTGAAGTATGTATATTGGTATCCGGTTCACCATACTGACTAAATGCTGACGCCTGCTAGTGTTCAATCTGCACATCTTTCACGCGCTTGACACCAGGATCTGCTGTAACCATAGGGCGTCCTATTCGCACCGCGCGCATGTATCTGCTGGATGACAACCTTGACCAAATTGTCGAACCCGGCGTTGTGGGCGAAATTTTTCTTGCGGGTATACAGGTCATGCCGGGCTACATCAATGCACCGCAAAAGTCCGAACGATGCATTCTACAAGATCCCTGGCACAAGGGCGAGCGCATGTACCGCACTGGCGACTATGTTACATATACAGCGAACGGTTGCATTACGTATATTGGTCGAGTCGACCGTCAAATCAAGCTGCGTGGCTACCGCATCGAGTTGGCCGCTATCGAACAAAAGATATATCAATTGGACCCAAGCATCATGTTAGCGACGGTACTAGTTGCAAATGATACCTTGGTGGCTTTTGTAAAGCCTGCAGCAGTCAACATTGAAAGCCTTTCACAGCGATTGAAGGAGAATCTGCAGCCTACCTGGGTCCCGCACACCATCATTCCAATTGACGACATGCCTATGACGGCAAATGGTAAGGTCAACTCCAAGGCTCTTGAGGCCATGGCTGTGGATGCGAGAAAGCGAAGGGTCCCCAATACCAATGACAAGGGGAGTGTACTGGAAGACAATATACAACGACGTATCGCACAAGAGTGGAAGGCAGTCTTGAACATCGACAGAAACGAAGAGCCCTCTTCTTGTGAAGATTTCTTAAGTCTTGGTGGTCATTCTGTACTCCAGATGCTGCTTGCCGTAAGACTTTCCAAGATATTCGGCGTCGCAATATCGACCAGTGATGTGATTCGAAGTCCCACGATACGGGGCCAGGCAAGCATCATCCGGAGCAGAACCGGCAGTAAGTTGCATGAAGTCCAGCCACTAGGCAAGAACGAACTTTCGCCGCTAGAGGTGCAAATGTGGAGGTCACATCACGCCGCTACATCTGCAACAACATTCAGCATACCGGTATTACTGCAGCTTTCCGGCTCGTTTGATCGATGCAAGTTTATCACCGCTCTGAACAATGTTCTGAGATCACGCGACATATTGCGCTCCAACTTCACCCCATCGGATTGTGGGCCGATACGTACTTTGAGATCTGTTCCCCCACACGTTCTCGAAGTCAGAGTACTTGATATCTCTAGCGAGATCAATATTCCTTTCGACCTAGCGCACGACAAATTGATCCGTGTCTTGTTTCATCGTGAGAGCGATACATTACTGATAGTCGCAAGTCACGCCATTACTGACCTAAATAGTATTCAGAGCGTATTGCGCGAGACATCTTCTGTGTATGCGACAAATCTCTTACCAACCCCGCGCATGCGCTATCTTAATGCCCCAGGCTGGTCACGTCCCGTTCAAACCAGTGATATGACATTTTGGTCAAAGTACCTGAGCAATACGCCTCCACGTTTGGACACATTACTCAAACTTCCGGCCCCTTCACCCAAACATGTCTTCGAAGGGACTTCTCGGTTCCAAACCTTCCATGGCTCCCCCGTAAAAAAACTCACGAAGCTGCTTCCAGTCTACGGTATCACTCACCACCATCTCGCCATTACAGTCGCCGCACAAGCACTCCAATGGCTAACCGACACCAACGACGTCATTCTCGGGTGTCCCTTCCAAAACCGCGTTGGCGACTTGGAACAAGAGTCCGTGGGTCTGTTCCTCGACCGTCTGCCAATTCGCATACAGACTTCATCTCCGACAACGACCACGAAAGACTTGCTAAGAGCGACTCGCGACACCAGCCAGCAGGCTATTGCCGCGGCTTTGCCATTCCGTAATATCCTCTCAGCTTTGGGGATAGAAGCGAACGATCCATTGTCTCCTTGCAGCCATCCCATCTTCCAAGCAATGGTCACCTTTCATCTCAAAGATGCCGTCGAATCATGCTTGAATATTCCTGGATGCGATGTTCGTCGTCCACCACCCATGGAATGCTGGGCGAGCGGCAGTAAATTCCTGTTGATGTTTGAATGGACGGAAATAAGCGCCGATACCTGGGTGCTCAGGATAGAGTATGATTGTCACAGAATTGAGCTGAAGATGATCCAGAAATTGGAGCGCGCAGTTGATAACATCTTATTAGGACTATCCGAAGGCAAAACTAGAGAGAGTATCTTTAAGATGTTATTGTAACGAACAGGTGTAGAAGTTGCAGCGGCCAAGGACGTTCAGCCACCGTCAACGTAATGAGTGAGATGGCCAGTGCACAGCGCCTCCTTAATAATAAGATAAGAAGTATTAATCCACGTTCTGTTATAAGCAATTAAGTTTACCTACATGCGTCTAGTCGCTCTGCCTAAATGCTTAGGTCTCTCTCTGACTTTATTAATCGCTCCGCCTTACTGAATTCTTCGCCATCGCGCAGTCCACGAACGGCCTCAAGAGCAATTTCTTTTGCGCTTTTCATCCACTACTCGAAAGTATTTCCAAGGGGCCGTAATGCCGTTTAACTTGGAATTGGAAGCCAAGGCGGATTCTGTATGCAATCCTTTTGAAATTCTCGTTTTAGTGAGTTGCCTTGGCTAACTCCTACGAGCAAGCTTTTGTTGGCGATTTCTGGAGCAAATGGGTACAAGACTATCTGTAATAAGTCACATTGCATACAATAGGTTTTGTTTTGTTTACCATGGATGGGATGCAGCACTACTGGGGGGGCCAGCACAGATAACACAGCTCCTGCAACGCTTGAGGTTCTGGACGATCTAAGATTGCAACTAACCCGTTTAACTATCGACACCACAAACATGAACTAGTTGCAAAGCACTTTTCCAGATCGAAAATATTATCAAGTTTGAAACAAAGATAGTCAGTGTTGAATTGAGAATAGACTCAGATCTGAACATCTTCGTGCTCCGCAACCAAGACTTCCGTGCTCGTTCGCATCACAAGTGAACCCCATCCCAAATTACCAGGTGACTTCCACCAATTGTTAAAGGGGCAATATGACTCAATTCTCAATCGTCCAATGCTGACCATAACTCTGCCACGCTTCTAGCCCTCATTGGCATCCATCCGAAGTGATGTCGTTCACCCATTCCCGTATTCCGCGGAATATAGTCCTCAGCGCGGTAGTCGACATCCACATTTGATGGTAGAATTATCAGAGTCTACTTCCGATAGAGCCTCGGCATCTATGAAGAGGAATGCATGGTGCAACTTATAATTCGTGCTCATTAGTTAGCCGCCCTCACCACTATTGTATAGGTCGCGAAGTTGATCCACGTTGAGACTGGCCAAAGCAGGGTCCGAGCGTGGGTCGAGACGAAAAAGCGACCATATCTATTAGAAGCCAGGGTCTTCTCCAGTCGTTTTAGCCATTTCTACAACAATCTCGTACGCACTAGCGTGGATCTTTTGGAGAAGTCGCTCCCATTGCTAATCAGCTAAAGCTCCGTACCCTGTACGGTAGATAGTAAAGCTCTAGTTTTTATAACCGACAATCTCATTATTCGACTTAATCATCAGATTGTTAAGCCACGCTTCGAGAGAAGTAGTCATAGGGGCGCGAAGGAAAGTGTTCTGGGGCCAAGAGTCGTAAAGTAGCAAACAAGAGTAAGCTGATGTGGTATGGCGCGAACGTTCTAGAGTAGATAGCTCTGAATATGTACCAAGCCTTGGGCAGATATCGAAAAGTGTGAGTGTGCCGCTGCACAGACAATATTGCCAAGTCTCTTGAAAATATCTGTGTGTGTTTCGCGGATAGACACACGATATATCAAGAAGTAGATTTAATATAAATCATTAAGGAGTCTCCTTAGGGGCAGTTAAGACTGTATACTTCTATACACGTGGCGGTGACTGTAATGTTCCGAAAGGTGCTCCATGGATACCTAAGAGTCGGTCTTTAGTTCAGAATATTGTGATAGTTAGTTTAACTAGTACAAGGTTAATTCTTCTAGTACCTAATTCTAGCAAGTTTGGGTGTAGCCTACTTTTCTTCTCTAAGATAATCGATCTGATACCCTATGTAACAAACAGATGTCAAGACAAGTTATAGATTCTGCTATCAATAGGCTACTGTGCAAATTTCCACCAATTGAAGTTAAAAAGGCTGCCGCTACCGCTTCCAGTGAAGTGTAGATACAAATCTTGAGTGCCCGTAGCGCCGCTAACAGGGCAGGTGACCGTGGCCCAGGTCTGCCAACCGCCCGTTCCAGAAACAGTACATGTGCCGACAAGGGTACCAGTCGTACTACCTAGACGCAGCTCGATCTTGCCACCACTGGTCGCCGACGCGACTCTTGCACTGAAAGACTTGGCTCCGGTGCCAAACGAGACGCCCTTGACTTTGATGTAATCTCCGTTGTTAATCGACGTTACATCAATTCCGCCTTCGCTGCAAACTTCGGTTTCTACGCCCGACTCCCAGGCTATCATTTCAGCCTCCTGTTGCACGTACGGATTTACGGTACCGATTTGGGGTGGGCCGCTCTTTGTCATTGTAAGGGTAGGGATGGTACCGTCGGCATTGTATACGAAGCGTTCTACGCATACCGATCGTGTGTAACCGCTCCCACCAGGAAGGGCACCATTGTGGTAGAAAAAGTATGAGTTGCCTTTGAAATCGACAACGCCAGGATGGTTTGTGAAGCTCGCACCCGCTGTTGCCATGACTAGTCCGCGATAGGTCCAGGGACCAGTGGGACTGGTGCTGGTGGAGTAACGAATGTCCTCGGAGCAGCAGTTGGCTGCGTAAATCATGTAGTAAAGTCCGCCACGCTTGTAGAACCATGGTCCTTCCTCATATGCAGTGGCCCTTGTACCCTTACTCCGAGGGCCAAATCCAGCAGTCGTGAGCTCAACTTTGTTGACACTTCCGCTATAGGATATCATGTCTTGATTTAGTTTTACATAGGAGAGACCTGGGTTTCCCCAGTATAGGTACGCCTGGCCATTGTCGTCTATGAAGACAGTTGGGTCGATCTCGTTGTTATCAACCAACGGCTTGCCGATCGCGTCGCGGTATGGTCCGGTGATGTTGTCGGCAACGCCTACGCCAATAGCCATGCTTCCAGTGGTGCGCCGCATTGGGGCATAGAAGTAGAACTTTCCGTTGCGTTGGATGATCTGCCCAGCCCATGCATTTGCATTAGTCCAGCTGAATGTTTTCAAACTCATTGGCGACCCATGATCCTGCCAATTTGCCATGTCCGCCGTCGAATAGAGGTGCCAATCCTTCATGTTGAATGTTGTAGATCCGTCTTCGTCGTGGCCAGTAACGACATAGACGCGGTCATTGTAGACAAGAGGTGCTGGGTCCGTAGTGTAGATCGTTTGGACGATAGGATTGTCGGCTCTCACTACCCCAACCCCATTGAGTAGTGTTCCGACATACAGCACAGTGGGAAGCAAGGCAGCAAGGCCCTCAAGTAAGGTCCTAGGGTTTAAAGCTGCCATGACGCGACGGAAAGTAGAGTGGCGATAGTGTTGTAAATCGAATTGGCAAGTCAAACCAAAAAGGGATTGACTCTAAAGAATCGAATACAACATACTCACACCTTCTTGTCCTATATATAGGACGGAATTTGATTACCTGCTACTCTAAAAAGTTCCTCCGTCGTGATATGAAACTAGCGCAATAGTTATGTTTGCACGTCCTCCAGACTAAGCAATGCATCGTTTCTTCCACTCGCAGGGTTCCTCTTGCGGTACTTGACGGTTTGAACGCTGATCGCCGTTGCCAAGAGATGCAAAGCATATTTTTTTAAATGAAGCATTTTAATGACACTTGGGGTCGTTCTTGTGGTAGACGTGGAATGCAAACATGCGATAGTTTTCCCGGCGGGGCAACGCTCTCGAGGCAGTCCGTAGGTGGTAGCGTTTCAGGTATAGTTGCAATACGAACCCCGCAAATTTCGTGTGGACAGCCGAGATTGCAGCCCGACCATAGCTTCGATTTTCGGATACATAATTAAGCATAAATAATCCACAAATCATGATTTGCGGATGGAGGTGAAGACTACTCCGCACATACGACGTACAACACTCTCCCGTGTGGGGCAAAGCCAAGGCGTCCCTAAGTTGCAACGTGATTCGGTCGGAAATTTATCGCATAGTTCCTACTACGCACCAGTAAGTCGAAGCGAACAACGTCGGGAGGCAGGATGTACACGTACCGAAAACTCACGTTTCGTACAGGCGCGAGGCCTGTCCAGAGCCACGGTTACTGACAGTCAGTTGGCTATAAATGCCATTCATAGTAGTCTTACACAATCCTAATATTCTTAGTTCAATCCTTGAGTTCACCGTATGGGGTGTTTTATACATGCGCTCGTGCATAAACAACCTGTGAGAGATCTGGAAAGATAAGTATAACAGGCCCGCATATCACGATTGTGAAACTCTCAGAGGGGAGGGTCTGTGTCCTAAGAAAAAAAATCATTGACACCAATAGAAGCTTCGTCTACAAAATCAAGGCTGTTTCCTTGTACTTAGTACTTTAGGATAAATAGTAAGTAAGACAAAATCTACCTCACATTAGGTTTTAGCCCAGTGTAGAGTGTTCTTCTAGAAGAATATGTACTATATACAAGCTAGTACCCTAGCTACTCACACGTGTAGGAAGAAGCATCTGATGGGTCACAGCCTTTATAGATTGACATGGATGGGAATAGACACAAATCCCTATCCCACATTTTCCCTTGAACAGTCGAGTTCGCTTGCAATGTTGCAGGCGCATTACCGCTCTCTACCCAATCGACTAACTGATCGAGTGCCCGTGAAGGAGCGGCGCCATTACCACCACTACAGTGTCCTACACCTGGCGTGGAAAAGAAGCGGTAGAAATCAGTGACATTAGCATCTATGGCACTAACACGCTCATAATAATTGACGGAACCGTTGATAAATGTAAGTGGGTCAGCGACTCCATGCCATGTTATATCTTGCCACCGTTCCGCTTGAAAAGTGGAAAGTCGGCGTCTTTGGTACCAATGATCGAATCATAACGATTGCCCGAGTTCTGCCAAGCTGCATCCTAAGTTTCCTGCGTAAGAGAGTATGGATTGAATGTCTTATTGCCTTTGACGAAGACCGAAATCCACGCAGAGGCGGTACCAAAGGGTGGGCCGGCACTAAGGGTACCAGAGGAGGTAACAGTGGTATTTGATGGTCTGCCTAGATGTGTCCCCGGAGATAATCCGTACCATTGGAATTTGCCATCAGCGTCGTGTGGACCTTCCCAGATCTTTTGTACGAGTGTGGCAGCATTGTTACTAACTGTACCAGAGACGCTGCCAGTACAATTGTATGGTTTACCAACTGCTGATATAGCGTTGAATTCGCACTGTCCCCACAGAGACACAATACCATCTTTCATTCCATCTAGCTCATCGCAAGCTTCGACAGCCGCCTCGGCAATAGCAGTGAGCTCGCATTGTGTTGGAATATAACCAAGTAGTTTCGTAGCGAGCTGAGGCCAGAACTCTGCAGGAACGAACTGTGCCCAGTTGATTGCTGGAGCTTCAGCCAGGATACCGTCATAGGCGTCTGGATATCGCTGCGCCATCATAAGGCCCTGTCTTCCACCAGTCGAGCAGCCATACCAGTACGACTTGGCAACATATTTATCATAATAATATTCGGTGATCTTCTTGCCCATGGCCGTCATATTGTGAAGTGCAACGGAAGCGAAATTCTGGAGATTCTAGAGGTTGACATTGCCTGGACTGACGAGACCCCAAGTTGCAGGGGTAGCAGAGATTACATGTCCACCATCCGTAGCCACTGTCGCATACCCCTTAGAGATAGCGGGTTCCATACGTGACGGTTCACCCGTAGCATAGCCGCCACCCCCTACGCCCTGGAATCGACCATTCCACTTATCAGGCAATCCAAGCCATACTACGATGTGATCATTTTGTCCGAGATGGGCATAATCGATTGTGACATTACAAACCGTAGTAGATGTGGATCTCAAAGTTGCCTAAGTATCTTTAATAGAGATAATCGAGGCTCCATAGACTTCTGGTGGGTCGATGGAGGTAGAGGAGCACTCTCTTTGAGAAGAAGAGGATCTGATAACTGCAAAGGCAGATACCGGTGGAATGATAATAGAAAGGACGTGGTATCGCATGATCATTCAGAAGGGCGTACAAAAGTGCATCCTAACATACCCCGAAACTTCTTTTACCGACAGTGTTCCATAAGGTATTTGGCTATAGATCATTTCCACCGGTGCTGTGGTATGAGTAGCCCATAGTTATCCGTATTCTCCACTATGCTTGATCGCATTAGATGCGCCCCTCGGCTCATTCCATCATGAAGAAGCGCAGCTTGGGTGTTAGGGGTATCTATCCCAGGGCCGGAACGCAGCTTCCGAGCCCATTTAGCGCGCATTTTACCCCTTTTCCGGTGCATCTTTGTTCGAGAGGCAGAACCGTGTGCAAGTTCCGCGCTGGACATACCCCTCACTTTCCCCACGCAACCTGGCGAAAAACCCACTTTTCGGCTCGGTCAGGAAAAGGACTTCGACTAGAAACAGCAAACTCTGAAAGATACAGCGAGATTTCGCTATGGGTGCCTGTATTAGAGAAAAAATGTCGTATGACGATAGCGTAGATTGTAAAAGTGTTATAAACTGTACAAAAATGATAAAATCAGGTGCTAGAACAGCAACAGCTGGTAGCTGTTATGAGACTGAATCATGGCACAGTCGGGCTAGAGTTATGCCGCTTCTATACAGCAAGTATGCACGCCATTGTTGAGCAGCACGGCTCAACAAGCAACAATTCAATGATGCAAAGCAGCCAGCTTATCAAACCTAGTAATTGCATCACAGTACAAACAGTAAACACTGCATATCTCAATCATAGCTGTGGAGCTGCATATGCAAAGCTAGAATTCAGCTGTGTCGGTTTGTTGGGGATACATAGTGACATAAATATCAACCGGCCGGTAACAGAACATAGTAGCTGCACCGTCCATGGCCTAATGGCTTCGGCGAACAGGTTTACAAAACCCAAGCCAGATTTCCCAGCTTGCATTATTCTTGCGCGTTTGCCTTGTGACCAATTCTTGGGCGCGCAACCCGCGATTCCACAGTAGCATTGGCTGGAAGGCCTGTTCTCTATTCAATCATTCGAACGAGCAGAAAAATTAATCATGGCGTCGTTGCTTCACCAGGTCGCCTTAAGCATTGGCCCTGAGGGGGTATTGCGCGTGGCCACAGCATCCGGACGATGGCGAAGTGGATTGGCGCCGCGAATGTCAGGTGACATCGAAGAGATCATCTCTAAGTATATACCATACATCATATCGGCGGAAGCTCACCAGTCAGGGGAAACATACCCGGTCTGTTTCCCTCATGCAATATGCAATGCGAGGTCGTGTTACGTGCTCAAGTTCGCGTGTGTGTTGCGGAGACGCTAAGTCGCGCGCGCTCACACCGTCGCTGCAACCCAGTTCGCCCTGAATCAGCCGGAGGCAAAGCAGTATGTTAAATTCTGTCAACTATTCGAGGGAGAAACCCCTGTGCAGCTGAGAGGACGTAGTACATCTGCTGCAACTAGATCGCCAAGGTGTAACGAAAGAGAGTAGCTCCTCACATGTCAGTTCTATGCTGTTTGTCACTTGTCGTAACCACCGCTGCAGTACTAATTGCTCCGCCAATGAATTTTAACTTCATCAATCAACTTTCAAGAAAAAGACTTCGAAAATCTTCCCAGAGAGGCGACTTGGAGGAAATATGACAGTACCTTGAAAGTGTGACAACTTTGAAATTCAGCGGCTCATGTCCCGACGAGTGCACACTAACACACTAGCGCCTCAAGAACCTCAAAACATACTTCAGAGGACCTCGTGGGTTTTCGATCTGCCTATACTCGTAGATGTTTTCAAAGATAAGATTTCGCACCATGCAGCAGACTGCTTTTGTAGTCCATAAGTTAGTTGAGATAGCGATAGGGCTAGTTGACACACCTATCATTGTTGACCTTGAAGACTTCAAGAGCACCTACATCGCAGCCGTAATGGTCGCTGAAGATTTCGCGTAGGTAGCTAGAACGGCTAAGTCTCTCATTAGTTTAGAGCAGAACATATGGCTACATATCATTATGATTAGTAGTATTATCTATGCCCTAGCATATACTTCCTTCTTTATTCTTTCTATATATTCATGCTATCTCTCTTTTTCGGTTGATAATCACTATATACTAATATATCTTCTATGATATACTATCTATAATGTTTCCAATGAACGATATGATTATGATTAAGTAAAAGGAAATACATTTTAGTTACATTTAGAAAGTTCTATGGAATTCCCTCTATATCAGAAGGCTGGTGCATCCCTATCGCTTGAGCAGCCCCTTCGATCGGCACAGACCAGGCAACTCTCCTCTCAATGAACTGCTCCACCTGTGGCCGTAACTTCGTTTCCGCCAAGGAGAGGTCATCGACAGTGCCAGTACGTAAGATAGTCATTCCAGGGAACCGAGCGCCACGGCGATACATAAGAGTTCCACATGTTTTGCAAAAGTAGTTCGTCATTCGCGCGTTGGCACGGATTGTTTCCGTCTCGCTGAAGGCGGTGAGGTTGTTCTCACCACGGATGTGTTTGAGATGCGAATCTGCCACGGTGATGTTGGATTGGTAGAAGGCGGATCCGATCTTGCGACAGTCGACACAATGGCAGACATGGCGGCTTAGGAGGCCAGGTTTCTGGAGAGGCTTTCAACGACATCAGCTTAGGGAACTTGGCGTAACAATGAGAGACATGACAAGAAGAAATCATAATTATCAGAGTTTTCAGAGTATCTAATGCAAAAAGACTTACTAAAACTAACTGCACAGATCCACAGAAGCAGGTGGCAGTAGCCTCGTCCTCGGTAGACCAACCGTCGTTCGAAAGGTTAACTATGGGGAAGCCGCGATCGTTGAAAGAATCTATGACTGCGTCTGGATTGTGATTGTTATTTCTCAGCTCTACGCCACAAGGCGGACAGGATGAAGCAAAAGAAAGGGCCAGTGGGGTAGGAATTCAATTTCGAGAAACATCAAGCTTATGTAGTGATCCGGGTTTAAAAATCTTTTCTACAGATGTACGTCCGACCTTTTGTAATCAATCGATTTTCTGCAAGGCGTAAATCTCGGATGTTCACGATCGTGTTGCCTAGCTCGCCTAGCTCGCCTACCTTTGGTTTTGAGAAGAATCGTGATCCGATTCGCTGTACCAATACCACCTGGTCCCTGTTTCCCTCATGCATGACGATTTAATCAGCACAGAATCGCAATCGCGCGATCGTTGAGTGAACACAGATCCGAAGAGGCCGGTGCTGATTAATATGCATGCCTCAAGCACCAAGGCGTCAAGCAGTAGGTCCAGGTGGCATGCAGGCTGGCTGCATCGGGAGATTCGGATCGTGCGTTGATAGGCCATGATTATAAAGAACGAGGCCGGACAGTCTCGTCTTAGTCTAGCTGCCGTAATTTGGTGTTAAGCTACCAACAGCAGATTAATAATCTCTACAACAGACCTGAGGCGGCAAACCTAAGGGTACTTAGCGTCATCTCTGTACTAGCGTTAGTACATAGGCCAGCTATCAAATTCTGACATAAGCACCAATATATGCAGAGCTCTGTGCCAGTAGTATCGGTAACGACTGCGCCGCCTAACTTTGAGTGTCACAAAGTGTAGGAGGGCATCAACACATGACGCGATTAAACAGTGATGAAACATAATTTCTAGGTTTTGTCCAAGTTTCTCTGAGAGGCAGCTGTTATTTTAGTGCCTACAAGAGCAATCTTAGTAAGTTGGAGAAATAAAATATAGTTAACTGCTATGTTAATAGCTGGTCTGATGGCCGATAAGGTTTAGAAGAAGACCTCATGCGTCACACGTCTGCCCTGGTTTCACCTAATACGAGGTACGCCTGTGTGCTTTGTACTGCAAACTTCCATTCACCTCGTTCTTCCAAGATCTCTCTAATCTTCCGACTGACTAACAATAAGTGCCTGTCATGAAAGCTAGGGGTCACGAGCGACATGTCAATGAGCATAAAGTTCCCGCCATGAAACACCGGTATGTTAATGATTGGTGTGTGCAGTGCTTATTTGAGTAAAGGCGAGAGATTTCCCCGTCATGTGTGCACTTCACCGTCCAAATCAAACAAAACGATGTGTCGCCTGTTTTCTTAAGACCTATAGAACCTTTGTTCGATACGCTCTATTGTATGATACCAATTTTATATAGATGCTTAACTATAATAAATCCGGCTCTACCACTCCTGTCTGCTCCAACAACCTTGTATAATGCTCTGTTCTCCGATGGTCGTCGAACGCGAAAACACGGCCCTTCCCCTTCCTACATCTTGCTAGATCAATAGTCGCGTGCACGAGCTCATCTTCCTTCGTCTTCGCCTCGGCAATAATATGGCCGTTGGGATCGACGATACTTGACCCGCCAATGAGTGAGCCGTGATCTTCTATACCAGCTTTGGCAGAATGAATACTGAAGCAGGCGTTTTGATAGCTGCCTGCCTGGCAGGAGAGACGGTGGTGGTGAAGAGCTTCTTGTTCTTGCCATTCGGGAGTGCCTTCGTATTGTGGGGCGAATGCTGTTGTGTTGTAGCCCTCCTGTAGATAGTAATAGTTTAAGCAGTCGCCTACGCCAAAGGTAAAACAAAAGAAGAAATGGAGGCAAGACTTACTAGCAGCAGCTCAACACCCTGTAAACCGTAGCATCTCCATGCTTCGGCCCATCGACGATCATTGCACAAAAGCATTCCGATAATGGGATCGCCTTTCCCTTGGTTTTCCTTTGATACAGCGGCTGCATCAACGTCTTTGGCCTTCAACGCACCTTCCACCAAACCCGGCGCCCGGAAAGCCTGAAAACCCAGATCACCGACTGTGAAATACCGCTTCTCGAGCTGCTGAGCGAATCCTGGAGTCGTGAGTGGCTCTTTTCGTCCTGGAAGGTGCACCTTTCGGTACTTTGCTAAACACTTGCGCTGCGATGCCGAGTAGTATACCGCCGTATTGAAATCTGTCGTTTTGGCGTCGTCGACCCAGCGCTCGCCGAAGCCAAAGTAGAGGTCAATTACTAGCTCATTTGCGCGGTCGATGAGAGGCTTGATATTTGGCGAGTTGACGAAGGCGTAGGGATCTGAGGGGGAGGCTCGCTCGAAGAATTTGGCAAGCTCCTCAGGATCTCTAATGATATAGGAAGCGAAGAACGTGGTAAAAGCTAGCTCGGGGTATACCAAAAGCTTGACGTTGTTCTCGGCGGCTTTTTCGAGCAGTGTGAGCATTCGGTGTAGAGTTTCTGTTCTAGGTGTGGAGAGGCTTTTGACTGGGCCCATCTGCGCTGCAGCAACAACCAACAGCCTCGGCTGGTCCGATCCTGTAATCGAATTCATATTTCAGTATGATTTTGTGGTAAATTGTAGTTTTTTCTAAGATTTATTCCATAGTATTGGCCGCATGCCATGTATTGATGATACTTAACATGGTCGGGCAAAGCCGATCGCTCGGCCGAGTTGCGATACCGGCACGGATGTGATGGCGGGGCACCTCATCATTTGATCTTATCAAACGTCCCCTCTTTGAACCCGGGGCGTGCCGATCGAACCCACCTTAGGTAGGCGGCTACAGATGCAAGTCATGAACGGATGCGTACTGATAAGCGGCATCGAGACAGGGTAGTCGTTTTTCGTCCATGGAGGGCTTCACTTTTCCGACATCGATCACGAGAGAGTCTGGTCACTCAACTTTCTGCTTCTGTGCCAGCGAATCATACTGATAACCTCAAGCATGGAACTTTACCATCTGCTTTCCTTTGTATTATTATAGGGTGTATTGTCGTTATAGGAAGGACCCCATCCCCTACATTCGTGCTCTTCCAGGAAGTAGATCAACGGCATATCGCGCCAAACCCCTACAAAAAATGTGTGAGTACTTTAGTACAGTTTAAATGTATGAGTTGAACACACCAAGATGCTTGGAAGCCCACTCCGCCTGCCCCATAATTGTGAACGACCACCTTGCCATCCCGCATCTCTAATTCTACCCGTGGCCCACCCTCTCTTGCGGCTGTCTAAAGTTAGTGCCGTTGATTATATACCCAGTATATTTCACGTACGACGAAGTCCAACTCCGTGCTTGATAATTCTCAAGTCCTCTGGCTTCCCCAGTTCTGGTGCAAGTGAGCAGCATCGCCTCTTGATGACCTCAGCAAACGCAAGATCCACTTCACCACTCCAGTTGTTCTTCTGGCGACATCCACCCAGGATCACTCCGCCGTTCTCTCCCCTAGGGAAGATATGTGTGGCTTCGCCAGCACGATGTGGAGCGCGGAAATACATGTTTTTTATCGGCTTCTCCGGGCTTTCTACTAAAAGGATTTGACCCTATATTCACATCGCAGTGAGACTCTGTAGTTAGGGCATGATATGAAGCAGGACTTACCCGAGCAGGATACATAGTATTGTCTTCTACGCCTCCTAAAGTCATTGCCCCTAGGCCAGTGCAGTTGAAGACGGCTGTGGCTTGAGGGTAACGCCTGAACGCATTGTCGATGGAGCCGAAGATACGTCGATGTATTTCGATATTGAGGCGGGTAGCTTCGGTCTGCAACCTGAAAGAAGATTATTTCCAGTGTTTTAGAGACTGGCGTTGGTGAACCAGGAGTGAAAACAGTTAAAATCATTACTTACCATGGTAGATATCTCTGCACATCAATTACAAAACTCGCCATCTCGAATCCAAATTCCGTTCCCTTCGGTAGCTCATCTTTCCCAATCTCTATTAACCCACCTACCAGATCCTCGAACCACAGCTTCCCAGTTGCTGGAGTCAATATTCCGGCTTCCTCGATGGGAACTTCATAGTGCCATTTGATCTGCATGGGCTTTATGCCGCATTCCGGTCTTTTTGAGCAAAGGTTCTTAAACTTGCGGTACGTGATTGCTTCATAATCTTGTTGGGGGCCGTTGTCTGTAGCAGCAGGGAACCAGTTCGCGCCTCCCCATGCAGATGCGTAGTCTGGTGCGCTGTCGCCAGGGAGATATTTTGCTGCTATTACGATTTTAGCTGAGGGGTACCGATGCCGAAGCTCCAGGGCTGTCGTGAGGCCGACGACTCCAGCTCCGATAACGAGAAAGAAAGCTAATATTCGGAGCAGAGAGGGGATGAATTAGCGTGTTGCACTGAACTAGTATCTAGCGGCGCTTGACCTACGCATAGTTGATGTCGATGAATGTTGATCTGACAAAAATGGCGAATGACAATCTAGAGACGATTTGAATAAGCTAGTATGATGGAACTAGCGATGCGATTTTATTCTTACCTGAATGTAACTCTGCTTATAGCCGTTCTGATACCTGGTCCGTCATCGGCGATTCCTCCGCCCCACCCTTGCATGAACAAGGAGAGGCAATGTCCGGCGCCAAGATATGGGCGAAATCAAACTGGATGACAAGAATATCTCCGCCTTCACCGGCAGTCGCCGACAGGATGCCTTTAGAGACATATCAAAAACAGGTCACGTTATAGTGATTTTTCATGCCGCCAAAGACATGGGATCTTTGTGGTATATGTATTTAGTTTATTCGCTAATACGATTGACAGGTGGTCTCAATGGCTGTCCTGTTGCAAAAAATTCCTTGATATTGTCCAAATTTATTCTCTCAAATTCGCTCCAGCTACTCTTCGAGCAGACGCCGATATGTGGCAGCAGAGCAACTTTCCAATTATTCTTGAGTTTGGGATTGACCTCAGGCTCGCTTGCGTGAACATCAAGTCCAGCCCCGGGGACGCGCCCAGACTCTAGAGCCTCTATCAAGGCGTCCTCATCAATCATTGCACCTCTCGCAATATTCACGACCCGTAGACCTTCCTTCTTTGCGAGGGAAAACTGCTTGTGCGACAGCAAATGATGAGTTTCCTTGGTGTAAGGTGCAGCAAGGACGATACAATCGATCTCGGGAATCATGTCCTCAACGGTTGAATGGTATACGGCCCCATGACTCAACAACTTCTCAACTGCGGGCTTAGGTCTTGGGCCTTGATAATGAATCTTCATACCAAACGCAGCTTCACATTTCTGAGCCACGGCCAGACCAATGTCTCCAAGTCCTACGATACCCAGAGTCTTGTTGGTAGGATCGACAGCTATGGGGCCCAGCTCTCGACTCTTCATCCAATTGTACCTCGCGCACCATTGCGCGAAGGACAGAAAGCGGAATGAGTCGATGATGAGAGATAGGGTAGCTGTAGCAACAGCTTCGGTGCATGCGTTTGGCGTATTGCAGTACATAATTCCCCGAGTGGTTAATCCATCGATATCTGCGGCGTCGTACCCGTGGCCACTGCATGCGATGAGCTTCAGCGATTTAGGGAAGCAGGCCACGACATCAGCAGTAAAAAGACGTTGGTCAGCTAGAGGGCCAGCTTTGTGCCAGCCATTGCGCATCACGGCCACGATATTGGCATAAGGGCCCCCTGGCTTCATCCGCTTTTTGAATTCATCAACCGTAGGGCAATCATAATATAGCAAATTGACCTTATCGGACAATTCTTGACGGCGAGCGACGTCGACCTCCTGGACGGTTGAATCGATTATGAGCAAGTCTGGTTTCCCACTCATGTTGATTGCTTCTGCCGAATAGCACTTCCGTAAGTCAGCGATATGGAAGGAGTGGTAGGCGGCCAT